CTTCATCCAAAAGTCAGAAATTGCCCTCTGACATGAATCACAGCATGAAACAGATGGACACTTTTGAGATTCGCTTCAAAAACATGCTGCTGGTCCATATTAAAATACTGCTTCTTGGTCCAAATAAGTGAATAAGGGAGGTGTTCAAGGTGTATGAGACATTTTCCAAAGACAAGAGCTAAGATCTCTCTTATTCCTGCCTTACAATCTGGAAAAAATGCAGGCATACTGGTAAAGTACTGAGGATCAGCACAGTGTTAGTAACTCTTTTTATTTAATTATAATTTGTAAAAATATTTTCATGCTTACCCACTATGCTTCCCCATCTTATAGCTTACAGAAATTCTGAGAAGCAGTCTGTTTCTGGAACCAAATTAAAGAGATTTAATGGAGAACCTGGATTAAACAGAGGACTAACACCATTTTCAAAAATCACCTAATCAACTATTTACTTTTGTAAAGACTAAATTTTATGCTCTGATGACTCCTGTCAGTGAAAGAATATGTTTTGTAGAGACAAATGATATTAAACAATATTAAAGATGACCATTGTTTGAATATATAATGAAATATAATAGCTTGTTTTATCTTAAGAACCTAAGAACATAGCATAAACACCAAAAATAAAACAAAATGTGTAAATTTACTCAACATGAGAAAAGTATGTATTCATAAATGTCTTCAGAGATTAGGTTACCTTTTAACAGCTAGACCGAATGGACAAAGAAGTTTAAAAATATGAATCAATTTAGCTATGCATTTACCAACATGCTGCATCAACTACATGGAAGGAGTTTTAATTTAGCTTATTCTGATGTCATTTTTGCTATGCCTTTGAGATGTTTTAGCACTCCTTTATATGTTTTCCTGATTTTTTCTCTTATAAGCTGAACATAAATGAAGAGAAGGTAAGTACTTTGATATTGAGTTTTGCTGAAAAAAAGAATTATACACATTGCCATATCAGCATATGATTTCTTTTCATCATACAGGCTTTGCTGATCCACGCACTGCAATATCAAACATATCTCAGAGCGGTTTGCATAACGCACTTCACATCTACATGAACGGCTCCATGTCCCAAGTACAAGGCTCTGCAAATGATCCTATCTTTGTAGTGCACCATGCCTTTGTTGACAGGTGAGTTTAATTCTTGGTAAATCTGACTTATTTTGTGTTTTTACACTGTACCTTTCACTGAAGATCAGAACTGTAAAGATTTTACATGCCATGGCACGCACAATATTTTCTGTCATGTAGAACTGAGCTCTGCTGCTACTTGAAAGCAGGTGTGCTGTAACTTTCCATAACCTGTCTGTGTGTTCACTGGATTAAATGTCATTTGAAAAGCTGTCAAATACATTCAGCTTTTTTTTTTTTTTTTTTTAACCAAGGTAAAAATAGTCTTTCAATGATGTCATAGTGATTAATATATATGGAAGTGTATGTCAAGGAGTTTGGACCAAAAGTGCATGACTCATTTTAACACGACTATAATCAGTTGGAGTAATTCCTTTACATTCCAAATGTCAGTACTGTTTTAATTTCTTTTCCATAAGGAAAATTCTAGCATGCTATCCATAAATAAAGAAGTAAAAATTCATATATCAGTGTGACAAACAAAACTGCGACTCTCTCTTGCTGGAATAAAAGACTACATCTGTGCAGATGGAGAGGAAAGCAAACAGAGGGATGTCATGTTTATTAATAAGAAGGAGTAGGGGAGTGCAGTTCTGCAAAAAGAGAAGAAATTGCTATGCTAAGGCATAGAACTGCATCCCAAGATTTAATGGTGATCTTAAAATTTTCAGCATGCCTCTATAATATATGTGAATGGCTACAACAATTTACTGTGTACACAAAACTGTGAAGACTAAAGGGCAATAAAAAAGAAAGTTAGCTAAAGAGACTGCAAAGCTATACATTCAACACTTTAAATATTATGCTGAAATTCATTAGATTTTTCTAAGCGATGTTTCTGCGCATATAGTTTTGAACAGTAATAATAAAAAAAGAACAGTTTCTTGCCCAATCCCTTTGTGCTGTACCTTTATTCTATCTGCGAGCTGGGAAGGCAGTAGCAGACTTTCTGATTTGAAAGACATAATTAAATTGCAGTAAAAAGTAAGACAGATCAACACTGTTCCAGGATCTAGCACTAGGAAGGCAGGTTGTATTTTGTAGTTCTGTTTGTTTGTTTTTGTTTCTTTGTGTATTTGTTTGTTTGTTTTTAATAAAAATATTCAGCTCCTTCAAAATTTTGTTCTATTCCCTCTGAGAAAGCTTCCTATATTTTTAGAAGATTACCTGTCCAAATCATCCTTTTCAACTCATCCTGCTCTTCTTATCAAGTCATTTAGTTAACTAGCAGCACTACGAAGTTCAATGTCATGAGCTCTGGAGAGATTCATACTCAGGAAAGAACTATTTCCTGACAAAAACTTTGTGGATTCTTTCATAACTTTGTACGTTCAGAAACTACTGAGTGAGACCTAGTTTACAAGCATTAAGTTGCTTATTCAGATGGAAAAGAAAAATGGCTTCTTTATTTGGGCCATGGAGGCATACAGAACAGCAGGGATGCAGATTACATTTTGAAGACATTATCTTGAAATGATGTTCTTTATCTTGGGCAGTTCACACCAAAACGCTAATAGTAGCTAGTCGTAGCTTTGAAAGAAAAGCTGGGTATTTTTGTGCGCAGTTCATATATTCAATGAACCTAACAGTTTTCCATCTAAAAACTTTATCCATCTAAAAATAGAGCATCACTCTATTCAGGTCATCTATGTGCCTATGGACGGTTCCTTAGAAGGATGACCCATCTATCCTTTGTTGCTATTGCTGCATGGTATAATTAGTCTTCTGGAGGTGTCTATTTTGAAGGTTTTCTCTGTGAATAGCTTTTCTTTAGAACATTTTAAAAGTTAAACAGCATATCTTGGCTGCAGTTTAGCATATCCACCTTTTGATTGCTTAACAGGTTGGATACACAAGGGTTTCAGGCATGGTTCCAGCTTTCAAGTTTGGCACCTGGAAATTAACTTTCCAGTGTCTAGGCTATTAAAAAACAGATCATTTGAACATTCAGAGAAAAGAGACATTGAAAGAAAAGCATTATGCTCTGTAATATAGAAACAATACAGCTTTTCTTAGATATTCATACTTGTATAAGACCTACGCATCTCTTAACTCCCACTCAGTACAGGGCTTAAGTAGTACTTTGGTCTTCATGCTGACCCTTCCCACAGAGATATTGGAGCTGCAGTTGTTATGAGCCTCTGGAAATACTTTCTATAACAGTAATTGTTTTCCATTTTAGAGGGCAAAACTATGTGCAAAAGATAATGTTATTATATCCTACTGGTGCAGAGGAAATAAATCAATGCACAGGCGCTGTGGGGACAGTGTAGAAAGCCATGATGCAGCCTCTTCCCATCTGTGATAGAATTTTAGCAGGGATTTGCAGTTGCTCTGTATATGGGCTTTCGTACACATGGATGTGAAAATTGATAATAATGCTGCCTTTTGTATAAGTGACAGAAGTGCATTAGCATGATTAGAGTTACTTAGCAGCCTTATCCATGACAGATTAATCATGCTTTTAGTTATAATTAATAAGTAGGTGACTGATAGGTAAGTACAGCACATTTTAAAAAACTGTTCCTCTCCTACATAGACTTTAAATCTGAAGGGCTGAGAAGTTCTTTTCTGAGAGGCAAGCAAGAGTATAAAGAATAGAGGATAATAGAAGAAACAGTCTCTACTGCAGCAGAAACTTTTTTTTTTGGTCCATATCAACCCTTCTGATTTGGACACAGCATTTTTAACTCATTACTCACCACTGCATTGAGCTGATGGACAACCAGCTGTTCTGCCTAGCAGTCTATCTCCTCCAGGCTTTGGTGAGGATATGGAGGGCTGTGCAGCAGGGGTTGGCTGGCAAAGGGCTAAAGATTAGGACCTAAGAAAAAGATTAGAGATGAGCAACTGCAGGCCTGCCAGGTCCTGTGGAATGCTCTGTGCCAGGCAGTCAGGAGCTGTTCAGCACTTTGAGCATCTGTGCAGGACTTAGAAGAAGGATTCCTCACTCCACTGAGATTTCTTGTGTGAAATCAAGTAGGTAGCTTGCTTTCCAAAACTTACATCTCCTAGAGATGTGTTTCCCTCCATTGATTTAAACAAGAGGTGCCTAAAGACTTTTGAGGAGCTGTTGATTTGAGCTTCAGCTAACCCATCTGTAAAGTGGGTGATACTAAACGCCTACGCAACAGGGACACTGTCAGTGTAAATGCATTAGCGACTGTGAAATGCTCAGTTACGACCATAATAGGAGTGATAGAAGTAAGGCAATAGATCATTGGAACTGGTTTTATATAGAAACATATGGTACAGAGGAGGATAAACAAGTGTATATGGAGTTTGCTGACAGGTGTGAGCCAAATGCTAGGAGTTATATTCCAAACAGAGCAACAGCCAACTCCCATCTGCTGCTCACCCCAGGCTCACCTACCAGGCCTGATGCACAGGGAGGATGGACAGGGCAGAGGCATATCAGAGAAGACCTTTCAGGTGAAAAAGAAAAGCATTTGCTCACAAACACTCCCCTTTTTTCAAGCTATTCCCTCCCAGCGGTGCAGAAGTACCAGTGCACCCAAGGGACAGTTTGTGTAGCAAATTACCTCTTGTTTACTAGCTAGAAAATCAAGGGATTAAGCCCCAGTCCTTGATAATAGCAGGTGGCCATCCTGAAAATTATCAATTGTCAATTAAATGGTTTAAAAAAAAAACCCACCACAACAACAGAAAAACACAGAGATGCAACAAAATGTACATTCAGGGAAAAAAAAAAAAAAAGCTTTTTTAGCTCCATGAAGCATTTCACTTAATTGCAAATCTCTTGCCATTCAGATATGCTCCACAATCAGCAGAAGGGAATAACAAGGGAGGAGTCAGCCCACTCAAATTGGAAAGGGCAGCTGCAAAAGCAGTGAAAGCCAGAGCCCGCAGTCACAGCAGAGACTCTTTCAGTCCCTCCATCCCCATAACCATGGAGGATCTTCACTGGGTTCTCCCTGCAGTTCTGTCCTTTGTTTCTTCTGTCTTTCTTCTCACTTGTTCTATATCCCTTCTTTCCACTTAGCTTTTCTTTCCCATCCCACCCCAACACTTCTCCTTACAAACAGGAAGAATAACTAAACAGCAACCAGGAAAATAAAGTGCCATTAGCTGCTATTAAAGAACTTTACACTGCTTGTATAGCAGCTAGCACAGCAGGGCCCCAGTTCTCATTCTGTTTCTTTGCTCTGCGGTAATGGACAGGGTTTATTATAATAGTATGGGTGACTTTCAAAGGCACTTTCTTTGGTGCAAGGAATTTACAAATGATTTTACAGACACCCAACATGATGTAGCCTTTCACTCTCTCTGTAACATCTTTATGATTCAGTCTTGTTAGACTATTTTTGCTCAGCTAGAGTGGCTTTCCAGTTTTTATCAAAGTATTGCTACTGCAACAGCACCTTTTTCTACAGCCTTACTAAAAGCAGATGTCATTCAAAATGCTTTTGCAAATGCGCTATACTAGCCAAGTATAACTCATATTGACCTGGTATTGCCCTCTGTTTGCAACCTTCTATCATGCTTGCTCTTTGTTGCATCAGACTTTGAATTGCTGCTCTTTACTTCCAAGGCCCCTCGCTGCCCATCCCCAAATCATCCTATATTCATTGCTGTGAAACTCACTCATCCCATCAACAATCTTTTGGCATCAACCTTGACCTTATAGCTGTTCAGCATCCAAACATGCTCCTCTTGGCTGGGAATTGTTCACCCTAAACATACACAGTTTTAACGAAGCCTGTAGAAAAACTAGGGTGCCGGTGAGCTGAAATCCTTACCCAGTGAGCCACTCAGTAGTGCTTGTTGTTTCCTTGTCCTCACCCCAATTGTCTGTATCCATCTCTTGTCTCTCGGTCCACGTGTATTACAAACTCTTTGATGAAGGGACTGTCCAAGTGTTTTGATCTGTGCAGCATTCAGCATGATTATTTTTATCAGCTGATTAGGACTCCAAAGTGCTAAGGTAATGTGAGCAATAAGAAAGAGGAATTGCTGCTTTTACAGTTCAATGAAGTGGC